AAAGTAGATATGGCATGCGCTGTAAATGCTATTAGAAAGTTTTTAGACTCAGGTGCTAGTATATAAATAACAGCGCATTGCCAAATAAGCTTTTTCCCCCTCTCATTTTCTAAAATACTTTCCTCTTATATTTAATGGTGTAATGATCAGCATTTATGGTTGAGTTAGAAGACTTCCTCTCAGTTTTCTTAAGTGACCATAAAAAGCATTAAAAGTCGTTCTGGAGGAGGCCACGTTGTTGAGTCTGTCTCATAATTATTTGCAGATCCTTTGGCATAGAATTATTTATCCTCATCTAGAGAATATGGATTTATATCACATAACTGATAACAAGTAGGGCTGAGGCCATATGAAATGACATCAGAGAGATTCTGTTGATCACATTTGGGTATTTTATTGGGCTAGGTTTCATTTGCCAAAAAAATCCAAATGAAAACTCACTTGGTTATACAGCATTCACTGTAGACTCACAGGAGAACTGTTCTCATGAAGTTACAGTGTTAAAGATGTAGATGTGGTAATGGCATCTTATTTTTTTTTAATTTGTTAGCTAGTACGAACATGTTTTCTTTAAAATGGAGTAGGTTGAAGGTTTATCAAGTCTGTGTGTAATGGTCAAATGAGCTTGTGCGTGGCTCTTTCAGTTATTTTAGCACAGTTGGGCATCACTAATGTTTATAGTGGTTTTGACTGTAAAATTGTTTTAAAGACTTTGTATTCTTAGTTCTGCATTTTTATTCCATAATGCACCGAGTACAAAAAGGAAGTGTAAGACTTACTGATGATCCTTAATACACTGAGAAGCATTACTGTAGTTTAAAGCAAGTTGATGTAGGAATTTGAGAAAAAAGTTAACATGGGAACTCCAACTCAATGGGAAAATATAGTAGGATTTGGGCAGTGACATACCCTTTTAGGATCTGGGGCATAAATGTAAGTGAAACCAGGCAAACCTGTGGTGTGGTACTTTTCTCTGGCAGCATTTAGCTGCAGGTGTAGAGAAAGCAGATAGATAATGTTAACTTTTGGTGGAAGTATGAGCAGGCCCCAGGAGCTGAAGGTATTCACAGGGTGATGATTATAGCAGCAGAACATGGACTCTAAGCCCTTCAAGAAATAAATGGTGGGAAGGAGGTGGCGGGTTGTGCGAAAGAGGTGCTGACCATAAACTGAAAGCTTCAGTGAAGTGAGGCTAAAAGCTTTTCACCAGAAGGTCAGAGGATGGGCCGTGTGGAGTCAGGGTTTCAGAGGTGAGGAGATACTGATGAGAAAAAGTCAAGACCTTGGAAGTGGCTGAGATGGGAGGAGAAAGATTGTTGAGGTAAGTCAGGTATCTGTGAGGCCATGGTTATTGATGTGAGTGTTGAAATAACTGAGAATGACAAGAATAGTGTGACAGGGAAGACGGCCACAGGCAAGTGGCCCCAGGCTGATGGCAACGAGAAGGTGGTAAGCAGTCAGCAGAGGTTTCAGGATGCACTCCAGGCAGAACCTGTTATACCAAGAGGTGAGTGAACATGCATTTAGATATTTTAAGTTTTTTTAAAAGGTATAGATCAATGTCCTTCAACATGCTTTTAAGGAAATGCACGTATTGGTCCCATTAGCACAGAGGACTCTTCCCACCGCCTTCCTGCCTTCTGGGTCCTGTCTGCCCTGTTTGCTCCAGAGGGAGGCTAGTTCTCGTACTCCTGCCTCTTCTGCAGCCGGTGATGCAGAGGATGGTTAAGACTGTGGGAAGACCTGAGCCGGGCTCTCACAAGTGCCCTCGCTGCGGTCCCTCCCCGCGGTGGCCTGCGCATCTCACCGCTAAGGGAGAGCAGCGTCGCTCCCCAGCCGCGTGCAGGGTGCTGGGAAAGGCACCTCTGGGATCCCGGTGGTAGGAAGGGGTTTTTCATTGATTTTTCTATGGGAGCCTCTTATTTCCTCCGTCTGCTTTGTTGTGAAATTTCGGTGGGAATTCTTACAATGTTGTCAGCTTTCTTTTCCTACAATGAGGTGGGTTAGTTGCTGTCAGCTGAGGGAGGCTGGAGAGGGATTCGAGGAGGTGAGCTGCCCAACTGGAAAATGCCGTGAGGAGCCGACATGGAGCAAAAGAGCACTTTACTGCACTATGAGTGCGTGGCGCGCGCTCAGGTGTACCGCGTGCCCGCTTAGTATGCCAGTGGCGCATGCGTATTGTTCATAATGCTGCCGCATGCTACTAGCGCATGCGTACAGTTACTTCTTACCTTGTACTCATCCAAGTTATTGTGAACGTTGACCTGGGTCTCACGACCTACTCACTTAAGACTGCGGACAGTTGCTATTTTGAGCCTAGTCTAAGTCTTTCCTGGATCTGTTTCCTTCCTTGGTTTCCTTGTTAGCATGAGGTTGTGCAGCTTTTCTTGAGTTTATTGCGAATTATTCCTCCTCCCTCCCTGTCCCCCCAGTTCTTTAGTGGTTAGGTCGATGCAGCTGTGACGCGGATTGAGTATCTTCACCCGGAAGTGACCCTACCTACTCTTGGCAGAGGAGACGGCGCCCCGGACTTCCCGGCGCTGGGTCTCACCCACAGGTGTGTGTGTAACTAAGCTTTCCTTCCTTCCTCCTCTCACCATGGCTTACCTGCCCGCCGCCCACCGGGAACCTGTCCCTTCGGTGTGTGTCCCGGGGCCGGCCCGCTGTCGTGAGTTTTGCACTCTTACCGCTGACTCTCAGGCTCTGTCTCCATCCTGCCACCTGGTGCTTGCCCCGGTCCACCCACGTTTAAGCTGGTTGCGCCTTTCTTCTTTCTTACGCATACCCGGGTTCTAGGCACACGGCCAGGCTGTGTGAGAGCCACGCCGTCCAAGCCCCCCGGACCCAGAGGCGAAGACGTGCAGCCCGTGCGCGCGGGGCCAGGAGAACTTGCTCTGAGTCTCGCCAGGCTGCGCACGGTGGGCTCAGCTCCTCAGAGGAAATGAGGTGGAGGAGATCTTCCTCCAGTCTGTGGCGGGGACTGGCAACTTGATGGTTAATCCTCATCCGCCCACGGAAGCCCAGGTGACTGGCTTTGACTGACTGTGGCTTTACTGGCACTCGGAGAATCCCACAGGCTGACTTGTGCCAAAGAGGGAGTGAGTTGACAAAGGAAAGCAGTCTAAAGAAA